TAGGCTAGCGGATCGCGGGTTGATTCTGGCGGATGCAGATCAGATGTGGATCCACATTTTGGTATCCAGACAGGGCTCTAGCTTTAGGTACAGTACAGACTGCCCAGAGGATGACTGATAGCATAACTCATTCTGAGGTGCGAGTGTTGGAGATGGGACCAGACTCTGGAACTAACTTCAATTGGGCCTTTACCTTGGTAAGCCAGCAGGGCAGCTCTATCTGGTTTTGCTCACTGGGTCCACGCAATGTCCTTGGGAGAAGCTAATACAAAGAACTCGTGCAAGCCAGACACCACGTACTCCTTTGAACTCCTGGGAAGGATTTAACCATTTTTTCATTTTTCAAAAGTCAGCTCTTTCCCATGCGAAGTTGTTTCCCAGTCCTGACTGACCAACCTTTCCATGAGGCACGACCAGAGGCAAGTCTAACATGATGAGCTCATTTCATACCAATGAGATCCCTGGAGGATGAGCAAATCTGTTACTCCATAGAGGTACCAACCCAACCAGGATGACTGGTGCTTTTCAGATCCAGTTCACATACTCCTACATGTCAGAGGAGATCACATTCCAGGGAGGAAGGAGGGGCCTGAATTATAAGTTCTCTGCTAGGTGCCGCTCTCTCAGAATCTATATCCCTATAAAACGTCACTATTCATGAATTCAACCTACTAAGTAGTGAGATAACAGCCCGTCCAACATACAGGAGGTGAAAACCCTAAAAGCCTAGTTCAGAGAAGATTAAGTGATGGTCTAACTAGTGGGAACCTCCTTTAACTTACATCTTTCCCTGCATTCCCTTTGGTATGTATGTCACATTACTTTATCAACTTGTAACTTGCATCACCTATGAATTTAACACCACTGTGCAGCCACCAAGCCAATGAAATGCTTCTGTGGCATCAGAGTATTCAAAACACACACACACATTGCACTGGCTATTTAAAAACATACAATGCATTGCCCTCAGTCTTACCCCCCACCCCAATGTAAAATATCCATTTCACCCAAAAAGACAGACAGTCATAACAAACTAGGCACCTACCTGAGGAAAATCACCATTTTTTGGTAAGAAGTCAGCAAGGCCCACAGATGCATAGTTCGTCTCTGTGAAAGGTGGTCTGCTGATGGAATTCATGTAAAAATCGGAAGTGGTATTAAAATATTGCCTGTAAAGAGACAAGGAGAGCAGTGACTTTCTCTCATTCCTAGCAAGGTGCATTTCTCAGAGTTGTCTCAGATTCCACCTTCATGGGGTGAACTGGTTCTTAAAGTCGACTCATGCAAGAGATTGATTTTAACAGGTGATTTTGTGCAGGACAGATGTCTACAGGGCAAAATATAATAAACCTACTAACAATATTTTCTAGATCTCATATGCTAGTACACTGCTCTACTGAGCTGTAGCGTAATCAAGAGGCCAAGGATTCAACTCTCAGTAGCTCATATAACCTGGGTGGATTTGATAGAGATTGGGTTTTGAGGAATCCCAGTTCAATCCTAACAATGGAGTGCAAATAAAACTGCTGTAAGGGCACCAGAGAAATTAGCGTTCGGAAGGCACAACAGGACCCTAGGATCAAATATGCTATATAGGGGAATATTCTTACAAAGCAGAATCATAGTTCACCCCATAAGAACCAACAGTTCCCTGGGAAAACTCAACCACTAATGATCTTCCAAAGTGGGGGGAAGGCCACAACCCTCCTTCCATTTGGGACTAAGGCAAGGGCGAGAAACAGTTATATCCATAGCTACACCAATCATGGACATACTATGCTGCTAGGCTGGAGCACTAGAACTTGAAAGGAGGGGCAGGGACATGAATTACTAACCCAGGAAGGGTTTTATGGGGATGAAGGGCTCTGAGCTGACACTATTTAGGGAGATCTTGGAGTGGCACCAATTAGTGAACAAAGCAAGGTCTCCTGATTATACTCTCTTGAGTGGACACTCCCAGTGTTTGTATCCAGTAACAATTAGGCAGGTAAGGGTTGTGAACTGATAGGAGTCTTTCCATTCCACCAGTCAGCAGCCTTTGGCCTACATTACATGAGCTGCTTTTGGTTTTGCTATTACACGCTGCATGCACACGTTAACGCCCTTCTGCAGAGGGAGGAATGTGCTCAGTAATCCTTCTGGTAATCTGGCTGTTGCAACGGATGTTCATTCAAACAATTTCGCCAATCCTCACCCAGTATGTTTTCATGCTAAAAACTGAACGCTTCACACGGTCCGGCTGAATTGCCCTTGTGGAAAGTCAGAAATTCCATGGGATGTCAAGGCCACAGAACCCACAGGCAGTGAACGTCCAAGCTACACGAAAAATCAACTGGGAAGAGGAGACTGACATCATTGGGCAGCCTAAGTACTATCCAGCAATGAAAATGTCTTGCATAGCTAGTTGTTCATTAACACAACATGCCTATGGCTAATACACATGCAGGATAGTAAATACACTGGATGGGCTGCATTTACATGCAAATAGGCACATAGTTCTCTCCCACTTATGACTAAATGTACCCCTCTTTTGCCACATCATTGAAGGTAAAACCCTAGCAAAGGGCAGCACAGAAATCACTTTTCAGAATAGCCTATGAACTGCTACCATTGAATTTCTCCTCTATCCTTACTGATGTTGAAACTGGTTTGCCTACTGCTAAGAAGCCCTAAAGCAGGTCCCTACCCATGTGCTCTTACAGAGAGAGAATTAACAAAATCCAGCACAGTCCAGTTCTAATCACTCTCAATTCTGAGTGACAAGGCACCTTTCCCAGCTCTTGCACATTCACTGGGCCAAATCCGTTCCCAGTGTTTGTCCACCAGCTTAAATGGAGTTACACCAGGGATGAATTTGGCTCCTCATCTGGTCTTCGGCCAAATCACTTCACCTAGGGTGACCAGATGTCCAGATTTTATAGGGACAGTCCCGATTTTTGGGTCTTTTTCTTATATAAGCTCCTATTACCCCCCACCCCCGTCCCGATTTTTCACATATTCTGTCTGGTCACCCTAACTTCACCTCTCTGGACTCCAGTTTTTCCATCTGTAAAATGGGGATGCCATCTCCTCACAGGCAATGTTGTAAAAAAGACTAACTGCAACTTGGTAAAGATCCTGACAGGAAAGCCACTACAGAATTGCTAATATGATAGGCCAACCTTTTTCAGTGCCTTTCGTATTATTGTTTTGCTTTTGATTTAGCAAGGACTTTGGCACATTCATTTGCTTTGCTGTGAAAGGCTGGAAGACAGCCACCCCCACGTTACCTTTTGTTATACCACCAAACCAATGCAATTAGGAGGGGCTCCAAAGCTTGTGAACCTGGCAGCTCTGCCAAAACGAAGGGAGAAGAGATCCTGATGGCAGCAGTTGACTACGACAAAAGAAAAAACTTCCCAATGCAAGCCACTCTGACATGGCTTTCATGCCGAGGCGCATGCTAGTGAGGTGAGGAACAGGGAGGATTTCTGAAAATCAAAGCCAGATTTCAATTTCCTTTCTAATAGAAACTCGCTAAAGCAAAGCACACTATGGGCAGGTGCCAGGCGAGGTTTCCCAGATGCGACTGTTGATGCATCTCAACTCCAATGTGCACCCCCACCTGCTGCTCATCCTCACCCTAGCACATACTATATACATAGAAAATTGACGTCTGCAGCATAACTGCTAGGAGCTAGGCTGACAGGCACTTTACTTGTGGCTTGATCTTGACCCAAGGTTCAATTGATGAAACGTAACTTCAAATCACCGTAGCGAAGTGGGGTTGAGAGGAAGGGTGGTCTTGTGTTAAGGTACTAGGTTGTGATTCAGGATTACAGCTGCACTTGGAGGTCCCAACCAAGCTCAAGGCCCCATTGTGTTAGGTGCTATACACACAGAGACAGCCAGTCCCTGCCCCAAAGAGCTCACAGTATAAGTAGACAAGACAGTCAAAGGATGAGAGGGGAAATAGAAGCAGAGAGGCTAAGTGACTTGCATATGGGCACATAGTTGGTCAGTGGCAGACCAGGAATTAGACTTCAGGTCTCCTGACTTCCAATCCAGTGCCCTATCCACTACATCACATTGCTTCCCGAGCTCTGGGTTCAGTTCCTGGTTCTGCCACACATTTGTGTGACTTGAAGAGAGTCCCTTAAGCTCTCTGTAAGGGGAACAGGGCAGAGGGGAGAGAATCATGGGGCATATACAATTGTCTCTTTCCCCCTTGCTCCCCACAGAAAACATCTTGCCCAGCAGGAGTCAGTCTGACTAACCTGATCCGCTCCACCTGAGCTAGACTCCCTGCGATGAAACACAGAAGCCAGCACACAGCCCTGGAACCTTTAGGGCCAGTGACAGTTGGGGCCAATCTAGTGACAGTTGGGTTCAAGTCATCTATCAGTGAGACCCTGACACGCACGTACAGCCCCTTCACTCCACTGACTCATTCCAAGCAATGCAATTGCACCACGCACATTAGCTTCAGTGCTTGCATTTAAAATGACATGAGCTACTGGTCTGGCCCTAATCTGTATAATCATAACAATTTGATACAACTGTTTATAAGTTAACTTAATTAAAACCTAATTCATTCAAATGTGGCTCACACTGAGATTTCAGTGCATTTGAACTATATGGAAAGTTTGAAGAGTGTTATTCCATTATAATTTCTTTGGGCTGAAGAAAATGAGAGCCAGGCGCTGAATTTTAAGATTAGTGACAACTGGGCCTTTAAACTCAAACTACTAACCCATTTCCTTGAAAATTCTCAGACAATTCTTTCTGAACTCAGAGTACATGCTGTAAAATTGGAGAAATTATAAAAATTATACTGTATTCTTCATATAAAACAAAGGTTCCACGCCTGCCTTCGGTACAGAACTGCACTCCTTTTGAACTGTGGAGTTGCAACCAACACCAGCATAATTACTATACTCCATCTCCCAAACACATAACAGATCAAGCCAGAAGCTATCGTACTTATTGGCTGATTACAATAGGTATAGCCACCTTCTAAGCAAGTTACTATTTTGGGGACAGCTAATCACCTCCACTGAAACTGGACAGACAGAAGAGAAGGAAGGTTAGCGTCTCACACCTCTGAAACAAACAGCTTAATCCAAACAAGCAGGGAAAGCGAGAGATACACACACACACTGACCCGTGGGTCCTACTTTCAGATGGGTACAAGTTATGGAAATAAGATTCTACTCCTCCCCCTACACAGAGCTACTCAGACAATGCCCAAAAGATTTGGCTACAAAAAACCCATTTTATGAACCTAATCTGTATTAAAAAGTGGAACATTTCCTCCAAGGGAGAACGGAGGAAACTGGCCATTTGAGACATTTAAAATAAGATTACCACCGACCAAGTAAACCCCATCTCTGGAACTTCCCAGCGTGTCCCTGCCCCATCTTGTGTGTATCTTTTACTACTGCCAGGCAAGGACAGTCTATTTTTCTGTCCTTGGTACAGCTGAGCACAATGTTGTTGATAAACAGACCAAGCACTACATATGTGATGGAGAACTGGCTTGCCCTTGCTGAAGGAATAAACCAGATGGCCTGGTGCCTCTCTCAGATCTACGATCCTACCAGCCGGGAATCGAGAACCTCTCTATGCATCTTTTGATTTTATCAAGTTCAGACTGGCTGATGTGCTCTTGCTACAGTCCCCTGATTTGAATGAGTAGGGAACAGGATATTTGCAGCAGAGAGCTTTCAATTCTGGAATTTGCTTCTCCTCTCAGTTTGACAGAGACCAAGTTTATTGATTTTGAGAGCACAGTACAAAGACCATTTGTCAACTCAGACGTTTGCATCGGGGGTGGCTGGGGTTACATTAATATGCACAGCTTAATTCATTTCTTACATTGGTCAGTTAATTTTGTATTGGTTTAAGAATAGTGTAAACGTGCCCAGAGACAGGTCTGATGGACACATTTTAAAGAGAAATTTATCCCAGCTAAACTGAGTGATGACTGGGAAAAATCTACATTCTAAGGACAGACACAAATAAGCTACTGGACACCATCAAGGAAGACTTAGGCTGTGGACTCAGATGAGGCTTAACCAATATCGAGATGCAGACACATCTGGGAAGGAGATGGGTCTCCGTACAAACCAAGTACTTTAGAAGAGCAAGAAACGAGATGGCTTTCTCACAGCCCACCGACCCTAAACAC